CACATGAGATAATTACAACGGTGGGTGACGGGGTGGCAAAGTGGTGTGACCATAACCCGAAATAGAAATGGAATGACCATTGCCAACAAGAATACGGTGTTGAGAGCCATTATATTAGAATAAGATGTAAGAGTGCCTTTGTCGGACATCAAATGAGATGTGGCAACCGATTCAATGTACCATGTCTTGTCTGATGGAGTAAGCGTCAAATTGCTCATGGCTGAATCAATATTCGTAGGGCTTTTGGTGGCAACATGGGTCTCCTGAGGGTGGGGCCCAAGTATCCCAGCAGAGGATGTGTGTCGTGTTGAAGGAGAGTTGTTCCATGAAGCTATGGGGTATGGGTAGGGTGGCGGTGTCCAAGAGGCTGGCGGCATGGGCCAGGGAACGGAGCCAGGTGGAGTGTTGGGACGTACTTGAGCAATGTTGGTAGAAGAAGGGCCAGATTGCCTAGAACGACTCCGTTAGTTGAATGCCCGATTACGACCACGTGTAGGCCGATTGGAAAAGGAGGAATTAGGGCGTGGGGGTCCCTGGTGAATCAAGGCAGCGCTAGACGCACTGAGTTGGTGAGCTTTGTTGTTTTCTTCTGAAATAACCATGGAGCGAGCTATGTAAAATGGAGGCAATGGATCACATTGCTGAATAATGGATGGCACAGTTTCATATTGCTTCAGGAGACCATGCACCATGTGCAGAACAAAATGATGATTGGAGACTGGAGAACCAACGTTAGCAAGTTTGTCAGAGAAAACTTTGAGAGTCTTGCAGTAGAAGACAACATTGGTAAAACTTTTCAATCGGGTGTTGGGAAACTCATTTTCAAGATGAACCGCAAAGGAATTGCGATTATCTTAAAGAATATCAGTAAGCATGTCCTAGACTTGTTGCGCGGTGGGATCGAGTTCAATGATTGTATGAGGGAGATCATTGAAAATCGTCCCATAAATCCATTGCAACATGACAACATCGAGACGATGCCACAAATATTTGGAATCGGCATCAGATGCATGAGGATCCATAAGCTGGTCTTAGGTGCGAGTATCCGAGACATCATCATCCGTGGGGATGATATGATCCAAAACCTGCTAGGCACAAGCGGGTATTTTGAAGAGCTCAGTCCAGGCAGAAACTTCAACATTTTCCATATATGATGTGATTGAAACAAATTTTTTAATGTTGGAGACTGTGAGAGCAGGGCGAAATGCAGAAGCATAGGAATTGAGAGGAGAATTGGAATTGGGAGAAGCCATGGTGGAGGAAAAAGAAAATTAAAGAAACGTCTTATACCAAGTTATTACAATTTGCCTTCTAGTCTATCACTCGAATGTATACCATGTATTTTTTAGATTCATTGCCTTAGGGATAGAATAGGCATTAGTTTATACGGCAAATATTATCTCCGCTTGTGGAATAATATATTGTGATGGATAATTGTATAGACTAGATTGGTTGATCCTCTACACTATTTATACCAAAGCCATAATAAAGGATTGGCATGATTGATTTTAACTTGGTATCATACGTTTCTTTCTTTTTCCTTTTCTTCCACCATGGCTTCTCCCAATCTCAATCCCAGTTCTCCTCTCAATTCTAAAGCTTCCGCGTTTCACCCCTCTCTCACAGTCTCCAATATTAAAAACTTTATTCCAATCACATTAGATATGGAAGTATTGAATATTCTACTTAGATCGAGCTCTTCAAAAACACCGCTCGCGCTTACCAGGTTTTGGATCACATCATCCCCACGGATGATGACGTCTTGGATACTCTCATCGCAGACTAGCTTATGGATCCTCACGGTTGTGATGTCGATTCCAAAGCTTTGTGGCATCGTCTCGAGTTTATCATGATGCAATGGATTTATGGGATGATTTTCCATGATGTACTTCTAATAATCATAGAACCGGGATGCCGCGCAACAGGCCCGGGACTGGCTTGTTGATATTTTTCAAGATAATCGCAATTCCCATGCGGTTCATCTTGAAAATGAGTTTTCCAACACTCGCTTGGAAAGTTTTCCCAATTATGCCTCCTATTGCAAGACTCTCAAAGTTCTCTCTAACCAACTTGCTAATGTTTTGTTCTTCGCATGGTGCACAGTATCCTGGAGCAATATGACACTATGGCATCCATTATTCAGCAATGTGATTCGTTGCCTCCATTTCAGAGAGCTCGCTCCATCGTTATTTTGGGAAAAAATTGCAAAGCTCACCAACTCGGGCATCTGGCGCTACCTTGATTCACTAGGGACCCCCACGCCCTAATTCCTCTTTTTGCAATTGGTCTCACAGGGTCACGATTGGGCAATCAATTCACGGAGTCGTTCCGGGCAGTCCGGTCCCTCTTCTGCCAACCGTGCTCAAGCATGTCCCATCACTACACATAGCTTTGTCCCCTAACCCATGTCGCCTTGGTCATATTGGCCTCTAGCCTCTTGGACACTGGCTCCCTACCCGTACCCTACTTCCTCATGGAACACTCTCCTTTAACATGACACAAATCCTCTGCTTGGATACTTGGGCCCCACCCTCAACAGGGCCATGTTGACACAAACAATCTTACAAATATTGTTTCAGCTATGAGCACTGTTGGGCTGCGGGTAAGCGATGTCAACAATCTGCCAGCTTGCCGATGCAATCGAACCGCGTGGCGCTTCGCTTATGCTATAAAGGGGGAGAAGCGTGCTACACTATCAGCGATTGCTTTTAGTGCAGCGGTAAGCACAACGATCCACAAGTGGTATCAGAGCCAAGGTCACGAGTTCGACCCCCGGCAACATCATGCTGCGCAGTTGAGGCTGGCAAGTGCTGGGGGGAGATTGCTGGGCCGCGAGTATGCGGTGCCAGCAATCTGCCAGCCTGCCGGTGCAATCAAACAGCGTGGTGCTTCGCTTGTGCTATAAAGGAGGAGAAGCGTGCTACACTATCAACGATTGCTTTTAGTGTAACGGTAAATGCCACGATCCACAAACACTTTAACACTTACTCCACCAGACAATACATGGTACATGGACTCGGGTGCCACATGTCACATGACGTCCATCAAAGGTACTCTTACATCTTATTCTAATAATGGCTCTCAGCACCGTATTCTTGTTGGCAATGGTCATTCCTATTTTGGGTTATGGTCACACCATTTTTCCACCCCTCACCCATCATTTTATTTATCTCACGTCTTACATGCTTCTCCTCTTGTCAAAAATTTACTTTTCATCCGCCGTTTCACCATTAATAATAAGGTTCCTATTAAGTTTGACCCGTTTGATTTTTCTGTGAAGGAACTCCGCACGAGGGCAATGCTCATGCCTTGTGTTAGTTCGGGTGACTTATACCCAGCCACGACGCAGTTATGTCATTCATCTCATGCACAATCCAGAATTTTGTCTGTCTCCAATAATGTGTGGCACATCGTCCGGACATTCGAGTGATCCTATTTTTAGTAGGCTTAGAGCGAATAATGTAATTCGTTGTAATAACATAGTTATCTCATCTTGTACTTCATTTCAAATAGGCAAGCATGTTAAACTCCCATTTAGTTCATCTTTATCTACTACTCCATTTGAAATAATACATAGTAATATATGAACTTCACCAATTTTAAGTACTAGTGGACACTGCTATTATGTACTCCCTCCGGTTCCTATTAAAGTTCTCAGTTTGACTTCACACATATTAAGAAAATAAATTTGACTTTACTGTGGAGTGCACTGTTTGGCACTGTTTGGCACTGTTTGGACACTGTTTGGACACTGTTTGGCACTGTTTTGTTTCCTACAATGGAAGTGTGAACTTAAATAAGGGACATCCCAAAAAGGAAAGTGAGAACTTTAATAGGAACCGGAGGGAGTACTTTTCTTGGATGATATCTCAAGATTTTTATGGACATAATAATATATCCTATTCAACACGAATCTCAGGTCTACTCTATATTTAATTTGTTCGATTTCATGCATACATTAAAACTCAATTTTATTCCCTTCTATTCTAATTACTGTTGATGTAAAAGTGGTGTACATGTGATGTGATGTGTTAAATAATGTGATGATGCCACATACCTCTTTTATAAGACTTTTTGTAAAAGTTATTGTACCTCTAGCATAACTCTTAGTGGAATTATGATTAGTAATAAAAACGATCATGTGCAATATGAGGATACCATGATGTCTTACAATAGGAAAAAATCTCATGATGTCATACATCTTTTAATCATAAGAAAGGTAATTTTCTCTTATTGTTATTATAGTTTTACTTTTCCATATTTGAATCATTTGATAGATATATCACTCGATTGTATAGTGTGTATTGTTTAGATTCATTGGCTTAGCGATAGAATAGATCAACCTGTTGATTCTGTACACTATCTATGCCAAATTAAAGCCAAAATAAAATATTGGGACGAGTGATTTTAACTATTATTATGCATGTTGGGTTTAGATAAATGAGTTTTGCATTTTTTAAGATTAGACCCATTATTAAAGGCTTTTCAATAGAAAATACACTGGCATAAAACGATCGGGAGAAGCTGCTAGTGGTGTGCTTCCGCGGAAAGAGTACATTCTAGTAGAAAAATGTTGATGCAAACAAGTTTATTAGTTATAAGACCTCATATGCAAGTGGTCAAATTACGTGACTAATAACGTGCACATACATAAGTTATGAGTTATAAGACTACATTTTTTTTATCATAGTTATAAGACTACATTTTTCGGAAAATGTCTCTCTGTGCTTTAGTACAGGGGTAAGACTGCGTACATCCGACCCCCACTTACCCCACCGTAGATGGGAGCCTTTGCGGCACTGGGGTAAATGAAAATGATGATGATGAAATGATGAGTTATAAGACTACATTTAAAAAATTGATTTTATTGTTAGCTCCAAGGATTTAATCAATGTTTTAAGATTCAATTTCAGTCAAGCTTAAATAAGCAATCGATCTATATATTCTGAAAGATATGATTAAACAAGTATGAAGTAAAAGTTAAAATGATTATTACTTACTCTAAATCTGGAGGGGTGAATTTGAGTTGAGCTTGGTTGATGAGTGATTTGACATGATCCCAGTATCGCAAAGAAACTTTGGTAAAGAGGGTATACGTCTCGCCTAATATTTCTTGGGGAGACGCCTTCTCTTTGTTGCCGTCATCAGCACTACATGAAAAGATTATACAACTCGAAAAGAATATGAAGAATAGTAGAAATGATGACTTTCTTTTGGAATTAGCCACCATTATATTATACGTACGTAGTATTATATTATATTATATTATATACAACGTTAAATAACCTAAATATTAGTGTTCGTGCAATGTTTGTTTAGTTTTAGGAAGTTAATTAAGGTTGGTTGGGAAGTTTCGACCAATCTACAAACGAGGGAGACGTGTGGGTTTTATCGTATACGTAGGATCGGACTACATGCCCACGTTTGAACGTTTCTTATACACCCAATAATTAAGGAAAAGTGGAGCGGTAGTTTTAGTTTCGGTGACGGGTACTTTTCTAAAAAATGGGGTACTGTACTTATCATTAATTTCATGGGACCACATCACTTTATTATTTTTAATTTAGATTTAAATAATCCTACTGCTACATTCTCATTGGTCCATGTGGACAAAGGTATGCTACCTTATGAGTACCATAAAATCTACCTTTAGTTTTTTGGGAAATCTTTTCTAGGAGGATGGATAATCGAAGACCACACCCGTTAATTGTTTTTTGGTCTAACATTAAGATGTAATTCATATTTTTTAACTTTTTATATATTAAATAAGATTCTTTAGATGTGTAATTAACACGTTATATTTGTAGTCGTTTTCGTCAATAATTTCATTAGTTTTGTTTGTATATATTAATGATAGAGTATATCTAGAGAGAAGTGAGAGCTAGAGAGAGAAGTGCAATAATATGCTTCAATTGAATGAATTTGCAACCCTGATAACTACCTCCAGAGGAAGTATTTATAGGGAAAATACGGGCTGGGTTCCCAAGCCTTGGGCTTGGGAGGCCCATTTACAACTGGACCGCTACTGGGCCGAATACAAAGCCACTAATGGGCTGTACAAATGTCTAAGTGTAAAGTCCGGTTCTGTGAGGGCTTCGTGGCCGACGAGGGCGTGGCCGACGAGGGCACGGCCGACGAGGGCGCGGCCGACGAGGGCACCCGGGTTCCTTGGCTTCAGGACCATATTCTGAGTTGGTACCTTCTCGGCCGACGGGGGTCCCTTGGACGACGAGGGCACCACTCAGTGTTTGGTGCTTTCTGTTCTTCTGAGTATGTGGGTCCTGGGGCTCAGACCCGTATACTCCATCAGGAGTCCCCCACTCTCTAAGCTGAGACGTGGACGAAGTGAAGGAGAGTAAATTCCCGTGCTTTGGCGCTTTTGGCCGATGCGGGCATTCCCAGGCCGTTAGCTATTGCGGCGTTGGCGCTGTTTCCATTTTGGTGATCTTGTTCTGTGCTTGGCCGTTACCTGCTCCTCGCTGTGGACGGGGAGGCCGTTGTTTCCTTGGTGTGTTCGTTTGGGGACGATGAGTGTCCTGCTTCGATGGTGGCCGTTGAAGGCACGTTTTCCCTTTTTTGGACGTTGATGGTTGAGGTTTACATTTGGGCCGATGAGGCCATTGAGGTTGAACCTTGCTTCGAGGACGATGGTGTCCTTTCCTTTGGGTGGCCGATGAGGGTGCTTGCGCACTTCTTTTGGCCGTCGCTGATTGGTTTTCGTGTTCTTGGCCGAAGAGCCCATTATGATTAACTGTTGGCAAGGACGATGAATGTCCTTGCCTTAGGTGGCCTGTTGGCCGTTGCTGATGGTGTTATGTGCCTTTGGCCGACGAGGCCCCATGTGATATATGGACGGTGTGGCCATGCTTTGTGGTTACATTTGTGTTTGCATTTTTCCTTTGTCTGTATTGTTGAGGCCGATGTAGTCCCCCAGTCCCCCACTGCTTCAGGCCGAAGAGTGTGAGGGGTGAAGGAGTTGCTTGAGTCCCTGGCCGAAGTGGCCTCTCCGTAGTGTCCCTGAATCCAACCCTTATGGCGATTTTCTGGCCAAGGTAACCCTGTGGGAGAACCCTTGTGCGCAGATCGCTTGTAAAGAGTTATCATCAAGGGTCATTACGGAAAGCCGATGGCTGCGGGTTCTTTGTTCCTTTGGTGTTGTGGCCGTTACGGGCGTTCATGACGTTCCTGGCCGTTGTCATCTCCTTATTGTTGGCATTTGTGCACTTGGCACGCGTATAGGCCGTTGTGGGCGCTTGCTGGCACTTGTGAAGCCGGCAAGCATATAGGCCGTTGTGGGCGCTTGCTGGCACTTGTGAAGCCGGCAAGCATATAGGCCGTTGTGGGCGCTCGTTGTCCGTGTGATCCGTAGGCTTTTACTCCGCCGGTAGGTTAGTTCCCGAGCCCGGCCCATTTCTGAAGGGGTGGCACCTCATCGGCTGCTGGGAAGGTGACCGCTTAGGTGGCCACTGATATGGTGCCACGTGTAGTGACCGTTGGAGAGTGTCTATAAATACCCCCCCTCCTCCGAAGCGGTTCCTCACTTGCATTCTTGAGATATCGAAGTGCTGCCCAACTTTCTAGAGAGAGAGAGTCTTCAAGGTGTTCTTCGAGTTCTTCATATCTTCAAGGTTAGTTCTTGACTTGTTCTTCAATTCCTTTGCATACTTTGCTTCCCTGAGCCTTGATCTAGTGTTAGTGGACAAAACGCCTTAGATCCGAAGTAATTCCCCTTAGACTCGTAATAGTTGTTATGATGAAGACCTTAGACGAGGAATACTATTCGTACGACGACCAGCCCTCCACTAGGTCCCTCGACTATGAGGTGCTTGAGGAGTTCGAGGAAGAGATAGAGCGTTTAAGTCCTTACAAGTCAGGAGAGCCAATGGACGACGAAGGTGAGGACGAGGAGTCCGCCTCGTCTTCAAAAGGTGAGGACGCGGGTGCGTCCCGAGTGGTGGATGAGGCGTCCACTTCTGCTGCTATTCCGTGCCCGAGACCGGTGTCTACCGTGAAGGGAGCAGAGAAGCCGAAGAGAGTTAGGAGGTCGAAGAGTGGGCCAGGCGTCTCCTGCCTGGATCTCACAAATATTTACCTGATCAAGCCGGAGAGCAGCGCGGCTGACTACTTAGTTGCCCAGATGTACGTAGGGCCGTTCGGGAGGGTTAGGGCACCTAGGCCGACAGACCACGTACTCAATCCGCCACCGGGGTACTTCGGAGTATACCCGATGAGTTTCGCCAAGGGGCTGAGGTTTCCCCTTCAACACTTCATCACTGAATATCTAGACATGGTGGGACTCCATCCGGCCTTGCTGACCCCGAACAGCTACTCGTTGATGGTGGGGTTCTTGCTCCGCTGTGAGGAGTTGGGCTACAGGCCGACGACAGCTCTGTTCATGAATCTTTATCAGATTGGCCGAGGAAGCCACAAGAACTGTGCGGCCTATGCTACTCTTCAATAGTTGCCGAAGAAGAGGAGCTTCAAGGGACTTGCCTTCGTCCATCCATGGATGGAAGAGCAAGTTCGTTTTTGTGTCCCTTGGTGAGAACGGCACTGAATTTCCCTCTCTCGGCCACACTGGGAGGTTCAATCTGCACGACCCGCCGAGGAGTTCGATCTTGGACGCTCAGGTGGAGGCGTTCTTGGAAGGGGGGCCGAGGAGCGTGAAACACTACATCACCGAGTATAAGATGACCGCCCTCGGCTTCTTTAGGTATTATGTGTATGGTGACAAGGAGGACAATGTCCAACTGTGGCCGAGGATGACCACTACATTTGAGGAGGCCGACGGCCCGGATTTGGGCATTCCTGCTGAGGCCGATGGTAATACTTCCTCCGGCTTTCCTCCTTTGTTTTTGTTTCTTCATTTTGCTAACCTGTTTATTTTCCTTTGTGTAGACTTTGTGATGGATCGCCGTTCGATCATGGCCATAGCCAAGGCCAAGGCGGCCGAGGAGCTGGCTGCGAAGGCGGCCGAGGCAGCGAGGCGTGCCACGGCCGATGGAGGCGGTGCTGCTGCTGGTGCGGGTCCGAAACCTGCTCAGTCAAAGAAGAAACGGCCTCCCACTGACGGCCAAAAGAAGCTGACCGAGGCTGGTCTTAATCTTGCCAAGAAGACGAAGAGGGCGTCGTCTCCTTCCCATGTCGATGAGGTCGGCACTCTGACCGTCCCAAATGTGGACGATGGTGGTCCCGTTGTGGATCTTACCGCTGCTCCAAGTGACGCTGCCCAATCGCTCCCTCTCGTCCAGGAGCCTCGGACGAAGCGGGCCGGCAAGGAGATTGCCACTGCCACCTACCAGAAAATGGTGGAGTACCCCGTTGGCGGGGGTGTCTTTGATGATGGCGTCCTCGGCCATGATGTGCTTGCCCAGGCCATGCCGGCCAAAGATCGGGCCTACCTCAAGAGGCTCGGGGACGTCAAGGTGTACGAAGGCGGGATGGACCTCATCGTCCAAGTAAGTTCCCTTTCCTTTTATTTGTTGTTTTTCTCGTCGTCCGGGTGAAGTCATTGCCTGAGTCTTTGTTTGCCTTTGTTGTGCAGGGTGCCTTCATGCTCATGGAGAGCCACAAAAGGCAGCAACGGGAGATTTCTCGTCTGAAAGAGCTCGAGCAAAAGGCCGCCTCGGCCGATGAGGCGGTGGCCTACTTGGATCGGCTCCGAGAGGATGCCAAGGCTCTGCAGAAGAGGGCCGATGAGGCAGCTGCAGCCAGGGACGATGCCCTGGCCAAACTTGAGGAGAGCCAGAGGGCGCTTGAGGCTGAGCGGCGCAAGAATGATGAAGCCGTGAAGGCCAAAATTGAGGCCGAGGCTGCCGCTGTGAAGGCCGCTGATGAGGCCGTTCAGAAGTTCCTGGCCGAGGGATGGAAGGCCGAAGAGCGGCTCCCCTGGTGTTATGAAGTGGTGGCCGCCAAGCTCGAAGATTGGGGAATGAACTCCCCCGCCGGCCAAGAGTACTTTGGAAGGGAGATGGCCGTGTACTACAACATGGGCCAAGAACGGATGCAGAGGCTCCTGTGCCGGCGGCTGGCGCGTGCCCTTAAAGCCATGAACTATACCTCCGGGTGGGTGAGGCGGAACCTGAGGCTTCCCAAGCTGATGAAGGATCCCGAGGAGCAGGCCAAGCTTCCTCTTTCGGAGAGGGAGGCCCCAATCGAGAGTTCCGGCCTCGGCGAGCCGGACTATGACGAGTTTGATTTCCTGGATGATGCCACCAGTTCTGCAGCTACCGCCGACCAGGAGACTGAGGCCGAGGAGGGAACCAAAGATGCCGGAGATCAAACTCAGGCTG